GAACATTTTAGTTTGTGTAATAAAGTATCTCTTGCTCTCTTTCAATTAATGTTTACACAGTATGTCATTTTCTATCCTTTTACTTTCAGTTTGCCATTATCACTTTATTCAGAATTTTTAAAAATTTATTTATTTGATATAGGGTCTTACTATGCAGTTCGGACTCATAGCGATCCTTCTGTCTCAGCCTCTCTTAATGCTGAGATTACAGGCATGTGCCACCACGCCTGGTTTCAGGGTCCAGCACAGCATGTGGTATTGGGGATCAAACTCAGGTCCTCACACTTGCCAGGCAGGTGACTCGACTGCCAAGCTATCTCCCTGGTCCTTTATTCAGAACTTTTGCTGAGTGTATACAGGTAAATCATTCTTCTTCAATCCATTCTGAGAATTTGTCTTTTAGTTGGTATACTTAGACCATCTTTATTTAATATAGCTGTGATGCAGTGGATTGAAATCCCTCATGTTGTGTTTTGTTTTTTAAAAAACAGAGTATTTTATGTAACACAGACTGGCTTTGAACTCACTATGTAGGGTAGCCTTGAATTTAAGATAATCCTCAAGGGCCAGCCAAATAGCTCAGTGGATTAAAGATAATCCTCCTGTCTCAGCCTCCCAAGTGCTGGGATCACACATCTATACCACCATGCCCAGCTGTTTTGGTTATCTCTTTGTTCTCTCTGCTTTTATTTCTGTTTTCTGGGTTTCTTTTTAAATTTCTATTTTGTGATTTTTTCTGTAGAATACTTTAGCGTCTTTTGGCATTACATTTGATGTGTCTACAGTAATTTGTTTTAGGACAGTATGTCAGTTCTATAGCGGTTCTGAGTGCCTCTTTAAATATATTCTTTAGTATCCTTTCAGTTACTGTGTTACATAGACATAGTCTCTTAGAGTACAGTGATGCCCTTATTTTACCAGTTCCAGTGAAGTATAGAAAACTCATCTCCATGACTTTAGTGCCCACCCCCAATAATATAATTGTCTCCAATATTTAGGTCATACATATTTTGAAGCACATCAAACAATTCTATAGTTTTTGCTCATTTTCAGTTAAATGTGTTTCTTGTGTACAGCATATTGTTGGATCTTGCTTCTTGATCCATTCTGCCAATGATTGGTAGATGAAAACCATTAACATTGATGGTTATAACTGATATGTATTGATTTATCCTTGTCACGTTATTTTCCTGTTGTCCACCCCCACACCCCACTTACTTGCCTTCCCTGATTGATTCTTTTCATTGGTTTTTGTGGAGCAGTACTCCTTGTTATATCCTTTGAAGATGTCCTTCAGAACACTTCAGAGTACTGGTTCATGATTTCCTCAGCTGTTCTTTGTCATGGAAGCATTTTATTCCTCCATCAAGTTTGGAAGATGGTTTTGTGGAGTACATCAGTCTGGGTTGGAGGTTGTTTTCCTACAGGGCTTGAAATACTTCACTCCAACCTCTCCTTGACTTGAGGGTTTCTAATGAGAAGTTTGCTGTGATTCCGATGGGCTTTCCTTTATAGGTGATTTGTTGCTTTTTCTCTAATAGCTTTTAATACTCTGTTGTGTTGAATTTCTGGAATTTTAATCATTATTTGAATTTGTGTCATTTGGGTTTTTATTGTGGATAATTAGAGTTCTATGCACCTTGCTTATCTGTATGTCAAATTCTTTTTCCCTGTCAGGGAAGTTTTCTGCCAGGCTGTCTGAAAAGTGAGATTGTGTGTGCGCACTATCTCCTACTTTTTCATTGGCTCTGATCAATCTTATAGTATTCTTTGCATCGTCTAGCAGTTGCTGGGTTGATTTCTTGTGGTTCCTTACTTTGTAAAGAAATATTTCTTTTGATGATCACTAACCACAAGTCTGTCTTCTGTATCTGAGATTCTATCTTCACATCAGTTCATTCTGCTGTGTATACTTTCAATAAAATTTTTATTCTCCTGGATAGCTGTTTGAATCTGTTTATGGATTCCACTTCTTTCCTATGTTGGACATTCTAGTTTCCATCATTTTCCTAAGTTCCTCTATTTTTTTCTGTATCTGCTCTAGAGTCACTAAGTGTAGAGGACCACCTGGGTGACTCTCCTTGAAAAAAGAGCAGTTGTCTCCATTTTGGCTGTGCCTGATCCATATATTAATAAGTACAGAGCTGGCTAGGACTTTTCCTTATCCTTTCAATGAGCTTTAAGTAATGCATATTGGTCTAGCTGAGGTAGTAGTCTTTGAAGACGGCAGGTGTGTTTCCCTGATACCCCCACACACACACTACTCATTAATATATGAGCTGGGTCGAGACAGAACGAAGAGCCAGTGCTCCACACTGTTGGCTGGGATCAAGCCTCGAAATAGAGGCTATGACTTCAGGGCTTGAAAGATTACACATCAGAACTGAAGCACCAGACCCCAAAACATTAGATACTATCTCAATGGTATAATGCAAATCACTTTTTCTGCATATCGCAGAGGTAAATGCAGGCCTCCTACCTAGCCCAGATCACAGTACTCACCAACTTCCTGCAATTCTCAGTCATTCATCCTCAAGCCACTCCTCCTTCATGACTGAATAAAACCCAGGTTTGGCCCTGGGTCAAGGCCTTTCTTCTGGATAGCCATCATTATGACTGGACCTAGGACCCCCTGGCTCCCCACAATTGTAAATATATTTTAGTGTCTTTATTTTTGCTGTGGGTTACACTGGCAGTGGTAGATTGGAATTAATTTGGTGGGATTCCAATAACATATCTTTGGGATTATAAATATAGATTTCTTTGATGGAGACAAGGACCAAAAAGGACTCACTACACTAAGCATGTCTTTCATTATGGTCACTATTTCTGTAGTTAACTGAGACAGTATTTCCAATTTGATTTTTATCTTGAGCTTCATTCATTTGCTTTGTTGTTTCCACTATTACCACTTCAGAGTCCAGTTGGGTGGTGTAGTGGTCGATGCAATGTGTCAACTTGTATCACCTGGGCAGATCCACACCCTGGGCCCTGAAGCCTGTCCTAGGATGTGAAAGGGCCTGCCCTGGGGTGGGAAGGGCTGGCCCCAGGGTGACTCAGCACAAAAGTCATATGAAGGGTTGAGGAAGGATTCCGCTTTCCACTTCCTTGGAAGAACTTCAGTCTCTGCAGTCAGCTTGGACTTTATCTCCTGGCTTCCAACACAGACTCTTCAGCCTCCAGCCTGGATCCTTCAGTTTTCCATCACAGATTTTTCAGCCTTCCATTGCAGACATATAGGATGACTGATAGAGACTTCCATGGAACACTGCATTGAGCTCCAAACCTTGGACTGAATCCTTCAGTCTCAGGTGTGCAGATCCTTCTGTCCTTCCTCATCCAACTCTCTGGCTGACTGTTGTAAGCCAATCTTGTAATTTCTTACACATTTGTACATCTTGTGTTATGTCTGTTCGTTATATTATATCTGTTCCTCTAGTAAAACCCTGAATAATACAGGTGGTTTTTGGATTTTCTCACTTCATTGCCCCCTGGGTATGCCTTTGGTGAGCTGGACAGCTGGGGTTGCATCTTGTTTAACTGTCTTCTTATGTTTTATTTTTTAGTTTAATTTCTGATTTATCCTTGTAAATTGCCTATGGTGAGTAGCTTTATTGCTACTATCTAGAACCCCAAGGAAATGACTACTTTTCAGAGGTGTCTCGCTGGATTTGGGAATGTGGCTCTGTTACAAGATACTACCTCTTCGATTTATAGAGGATGAGAAGTTGCTGCTTACTTGGCCCAGCCTCTGGTTTTTTGGCACTACCTATAGTATTGTTTATGGTCCTTAGGCAATCTCAGTCTTGGTATACCAGGAAGAACAACTGGTTAGAACAATCATGTGATTTTGGTTAAAGTGGTACAATCAGTAATAACAATAGCATCAAACAGAGTCTAGAAAAATGACACTGATATAAACATTAATTTGTCACCTTTAACCATATAAGCTAGTTCTGTGGTTACATTAAAAGAAATCTAAAATAAACCAGAAAAGTATATGCAGTAAAATATGCCCTGCATCTGGTGATCTTACCCTCAAGGGAGAAAATTTAAAAGGGGTTTAGGGAAAAAAAGAGAAATCGAAGAGGAAGAGATTAGATGCAAGGCCTGAGTTCAATCCCTGGTTAAAAAAAAAAAAAAAAAAAAAGCAAGGCTGAAGGACAAAAGAGGATTACACAGACTTTGGGGAACTGGTGCAGAGGACAGGAGAGAAAGAGAGAAGGAAGTGATAGAACCAAGAACACAGCAGAACAACAGTAAGACTAGAAACTATATTCACACTCATAAAAAAAAAAAAATGAAGAGAAAACAAGACCAAAAAAGAAAAAGAAGAAGAAAAAAAAGTCTACTTCAAGGTGTGTTTTTCCTGTCACTAGTATACCAGCTGGGCAGTAGAGTCCAGATCCATGTTGATTGATCCCAGCAAGCCCACAGCAGCTTTACAGTTTTCAGTGATTTTACCTACCCCTAGGTAGCCTGCATCTCTATTTCTGCTGATGCTTAAGCTGGTGTCTAGCCATGAGGCTGGGCCCAGACCTGTTCAGCCTGCAGCAGCCCACGCACCTCCTGCTGGCTTGACCTTGGCTGGGAGCCCCTGAATGTAGCCGGAGGTTGCTCCAAGCTCCAGGCTCAGCTGGCCCACCTCCAAGATGGCTCTCTGCCAATTGTTAGGTACAAACCCACCCATGCAGTCGACCAGATCAGGCATTCTGACACGAGTAGAAGATTTATTGGGGGCATAAAGCAGGCTGGCTATCTAGCAGACCAAGACAGCAGTGAACAAAGGGGAGGCAGGAGACTTTATAGGATCTTTTAGGGAGGGTGATCACTGGCTGGAACAGCTGAGGGAGAGCTAATCTTGGCAGTGCTACTTGGTCTGTGTAAGACCTTTCATGTTAACAGAGAAGAGTTTCATGGTTGCTTGCCCAGGTCAGAGTCAGGTGGACCTGTTCTGTGGTTTTGGGTTTGGCTCTGCTTGGGGCCAAGGGGGAGAGAGTTTGGATGCAGGGAAACCAAGAGGGAGAGTGTTTGGCGCAAGGTGCCTGGGAAACTTTGAATCCTGACCTATCATACCAGACTCTATTTGATAGAAAATGGACGAAGAAATCATCTGGCTACTTTTTGCTGAACAGGGGCATCATGGAGCCAAGAATCTGAAGATCAAGATGAGGCATTGTCTTCATTGAAGGAGTCTCATTAGAGCAAGACCTGGTAGGAGCAATCTGAGAGAAGTGTTCGGTTAAAATTTTGGGTTGTTAATCTGGTGTTAGTATTATGGATGAGGGGAATGAAGCAGGGGGCTACCACGAACATAATATCAAACTCTACGAGGGGCCCTAGAAGGGAGAGAGCCAAGAGATGATGGAGCTTTATGCATCAAGGTGTCACACAGAAACAGCTGTGTGTCTATTTTGTGTTGTTTGTCTGGAGGTTTGTTGAACATGTGAGGTTGTGAGAAGAGGGGAGTTGTAAAAGGGAGGTTGGTGGGTTGGGTAGAAGCAAAAAGGGAATCTTTGATTTGAATGTGTTGTTTTACCATGACCATGTTGAAAGGGAGGAGCAAGGAGGTGGCAGATGATGGGCTTGGGTCCCCTCTGATATTTGGGGCTATTGGGTATTGGGAATGTGGGAAAGAGTGTGGGATCTCTGAGGCACATCAGTGTAGGAATAGCACGTGTGGCACAAGTGGGACTGTAAGTATCCCAGAGTATGTGGTCAACACGGGAAGGAGAAGGGAGGAGCTGGCTGTGCATTGAGATTAGGTTTATAGGACGAGCACTGTGGGAAGACAAGTGAGAGACACAGAGCTTTTGAATGAGATCTCTCTCCCATGAGAGTGTAGAGTAGGTTGAATTTATAAGGAAATTATGAGTGAAGAACAGTGTCTGGAGTGAGCAGGGGATGGGCCGCTCTGAAGGCATCTTGTAGGTGGGCCATCAACACCTACTATGGAGACTGTAGATCTAATATAGAAACTTTAGGACTCAGGAAGAACATTATACATAGTGTCCATGTCAGCAAGAAAAAGTTTTTTTAACCTGAGATGTCCAGTGAGACTTGGGACTCTGACAAAGATACCTTCATGTGGGCCATGGGCCCCAAGCTCTGTTGTTCCCCTTTAGCAACAAGACCAAGCAGGTCAAGCACTGATGGATCTGGCTGTAGCAAGCTTTCCTGTGAGGACAGGGAATTGGATGACTTACCTGCTCTCTGATGGGCAGGGCAGTCACAATTTCAGTGGACCTCAAGATGGCAGGTTAGGGCAGGTTTGTGTCCAGTGTCCTTCTTTGCCATACTTGTCAGGAAGAGCTCAGGTGGCAGCATTGTTTAGGCTCAGCATTACCTTGTCAAGGGCTTACTTTGATAGGAGTCCTGAGTGTTACAGCCAAAAGTTGGCACTGTGTATAGTGAATTTTGTTATCTATTATTAAAGACATGGAAAATCAGGTTAAGTAAGTTTGCTTGTGAGGTTTGAGGGCTGATATTTATCTTTTTAGTTTGGCATGAATCTCAGATGAGCAGATCGGGATATAAATTAGGAATTAATAACAGTTGTTTCATCAAGAGAGCAGTATATTTGATTATTAAACACCTTGCAATATAAAGTGTGACTAGAGAACTGTTATTACTTATCAACCATAGACATTTTAGCAATTAAATTCTTGTAGAATGTTAACGGACAGTAGTTAAACTTTTACAGAGAACATTTGACATCAGCAGTCATATGTAGTAGTGTCACTTAACAGTCATAACAGATGATGAGAAAATTATCATTTAAGTGATGACCTCATGTTGGCTTGACATGAACCTCTTATTATAAGTATCTGGAGCATAAGAGGAAGGCATGAATATATTTAATGCACCAACTTTTATGAAAAAAAACCCATTTTAATTTTTTTTGCTTTTACCAAATTATTAGGCATGTCTTCTAAGGAGATTATTGGGGGCTCTCCCCTGATGAACAAAGGCTGGCCCCCCTCTATCCACCAATCAAGAGTCCTGTCCAACAATCTCTCCCCATTTTAATGATTTTTGTTTAATTGTAAATTCATTATTTCGACCAGCTTGTAACTCAGGAGAAAGCATGCTTTTAAGTCTCCATTTTTAGAGCTCAAACAAGAAGAGGAACAGCTGTTGACAGAACGACATATAAAACTATACACAACCTACATGAATGCCTTTACAAAATCAGAGTGCACTACAATATATGTCTGGCCAGGTTAAATTATGATGACCTGTTTAAGTTTATAATGCGAGACCAGTCAGAACTTTTGTAGGTCAATTACCAGAGATCTCTTATAAGAATTTGAAAAATGTTTTTTAAAAAATCTTTTATTTATAGATACCAAGTTTGAGTAGGAGTAAGCAGACAAGTCTGAGTAGGAGCAAGCAAATTGAGCAGCATATAAGGACTAGGCACAGTACAATAGAGGAGCACTGACAACTCACAAGATCCGGACTTGCAGGCTGGCTAAAGGGAGGAGTGGGAAGCTGCTTTAGGGTCTCTTCATTGTGGCTGTAACAGGAGACTCTGCCTAAGTGGCCGAGGGGCAGGGGGAGTGAAGGTAAGTGGCAGGCTCAAATGGAAAGGAAAGGACAGACGGCTGTTATCCTCCCCAGCTCAGTAGCAGAGGGAGGGGCACATGCTGTTGGGGGAAAATGTGTTATTATTAGTTGTTTTTTGTAACTCGAGGGGGTGGTAAGGAAAGACAAGGAGAGAGGAAGCAAAGAGAGAATGGGCTATCACTTTAGCTGAAAGATGAGAGGTCAGAAGGTGAAGCAGCTGCTGAGGCTTTAGGATCTGGTAGTGGCCAGTAGAGGCCAGTGGCAGAGGCACCGGGGGTGGGGCCCTGCAGTGACAGCAGTCCGCAGTGGCTGAAATGTTGGCAACAGCTCCAGTGGAGGCTCTGCTGGGTGGGGCATAGGGGAACTGATGTGAGGGGGAGCTGGGTGGGTTGTGGGTATGCGAATGGAGCATGTCTTTAGAGAAAACCAAGGCTTTTAAGGGATTTTTAACCATTTGCTGCTGCAATAGTAGGAGTTTTAGGGAGTTAACAGCTTTTTTGTGGGGGGTCAGGAATGAATATTTTTCCTGGTGACAGAATTTGAGCTGAGTCGGGCTTTAAGACTCAAGGGAGGTTCCTCAGGGACAGGTGTGGCTGGGCTGCCTCAGAGTATCTCCCAAGGAGCGTGAACACAGTCTATTCTGTGCCCTAGACAGAGAAAAATCTGGGAACAGGCCCATGGTTTTGGAACTGGGAGAGGGTGCCACTTGTCCCTAGCAGGGCACAAGGGTAGCAACCCTCTGCCAAGGACTGTGGAGACAGCTTCCCCTCAATCTGGGACTGGAAATCTTGGTGGACTCAGCTCACCTGGACTGGAGTTGGATACAGGCTGGCAGCAGCACATAGGCAGGTTCCTGAGAAGAGAGGCTTGGTAGGCAGGCAGGGGCTCAGGACCTGGGGGTTTGGCCCCCAGGAGCCTCACGTGCTGCCCATCTGAGTCACAAGGTGGGCAGGGGCTCAGTAGGGGTTTTGGCTAAGAGGATCTGTTGGGGGCTGTAAGATAGGCAGGGTTCCTGGTAACTGCGGAGGGAGAGGAAAGCAACCTAGAGGAGCTCGGACTATTTTCCATCTTAGCGACAAAAGTTATCCAAGTTAATGAACATGTTATACTCAAGAGTTCCTGGAGAGGCCCAGATAATCTCAGTGTCCAACTTGTATTGTGGCCATGCTGTTTGGCAGAAAAAAATTAAGCATTTGACTTTGAGGTCAGAGAAGCCTAAGGGGCCTCTACAACAAACTTAAGTCAGTCTAGGACAGAAGAATAGTTTTGAGAGGGTATTGAAGAATTCCCCATAGAAGTGAAAAGACAGTGTGGAGGGTGGGTGAGAGGAGGTTGAAGATGATGATCTTGTTGTGGGAGACCCCAAAAGGGATGTAGAGCCAAAGCTCTTCAAGCAGGCATCACCGGTTGGAGAGGAGGCTAAGTGGCTCAGCATGTTGACACAACTTCGTAGAATAGGGCCAGAGGCATAGACCAGCTGTCCAGTACTTGTCCTGAGGGAGAAATCAGGATGAAATAGAAAACAAAAGAGCAGAAGATGTCAGTGTCCCAGAAATCCTGGAAGGAACCCTGAAGGAATTCAGAGGCTATCCAATCCAGGTACAAGTACAAGGAGTAGCAGGGGAGAGGGCTGGAGGCAGAGGGGAGCAAGTAATCCCCCACCCAGTGACATTTATCTTCAAGACTAAGAGAAGGAATGAGAAAATGAAAGTGCAGAAAGTGATCTTCTTTGGGCGGCTAAAGTTGGGAAGGGAGCCTTGGAGACATTTGTCCTTGATAAATTGAAAAGAGAAATCCACTATAGGCAGCAAGTCCCCAGGGAGAAATGGCCCTCTTTGTCTTGTTTTCCCAACAAGTTGGACAACGGGAGAGGTTTGAATTTTAAGATGGGTTGAATGAGTGGTGAGAGAATACTCACATGGGATGTCATGGGTGGCTAGGTCAGCAAGGGAGGTCTGAAGCTCGCAGTCCACTCAGAAGGGCTAGCAGTGGACCGTGGCAAGGCCCTGGTTGGAAGAGACTGGCAGAAGCCTTGGCGTCTCTCCCAGGTTTTCAGCACCATATGTTAGGTACAAACCCATGCAATTGACCAGACCAGGCATTCTGACATGAGTAGATTTATTGGGGGCATAAAGCAGGCTGGCTGTCTAGCAGACCAAGACAGCAATGAACAAAGCAGGGATAGGAGACTTTATAGGATCTTTTAGGGAAGGTGATCACTGACTGGAACAGCTGAGGGAGAGCTAATCTTGGCAGGGCTACCAGGTCTGTGGGGGACCTTTCATGCTAACAGAAGAGAGTTACATGGTTGCTTGCCCAGGTCAGAGTCAGGTGGACCTGTTCTGTGGTTTTGGGTTTGGCTCTGTGTGGGGCCAAGAGGGAGAGAGTTTGGGGGCAGGGTGCCTGGGAAACCAAGAGGGAGAGTGTTTGGCACAGGTGCCTGAGAAACTGTGAATCCTGACCTACCACCAACTTCGCTGTCCTGTAGTGTTCTGAACCTGAGGAAGTCACCAGCCACTGCATCCCCTGTGCCATTCCACTGGTGCATCTCTCCACAGAGGTCTCCAGAGTCGCATCAGGAGGTTCAAACTGCCCCTCTGATTCAGTGAGTCCGGACTCATGGAGAAATCACTGCCTGCCACCTAACTGTGTGCTTTTCCAAAAGTGCCTTGCTCCTCCATCCATGAACCTTGCCTGCATCATCAGCTCACCCCCACCTCTTCCTGCACCCCAGCAGCATACCCCCAGTCACACTGTGTACCTCATAAAGGCCAAGCACACTGTGCCTCATGGCCTTAGTCCTTACTGAGTTTTGACAATCCTGGTGCCCCTTGTAAGCAAAATATGTGTATTTTTCTGTGTTTTGTTCTGTTGTCATACACTTAGCAGGAGATGGGTGGTCCCCAGAGCCCCAACACCAAACAAAATATTGTCAGTGCTGACAAACCTTACAGAAAGAGAACTAAGCAGTAATCACTGAGAATATGGGTGAGAGTGAAAATGTGAGCCTTGGGTGTGTTTGGGGTCATGGAGCTGTTTATTGGGGTAACCATTCTCTTCCTCCTGACTCCGCTGGGTTCCAGTGACACATACTAAGTTTTGGATTCTTGGTTACACTCCATCAGTCTCATCACCTCTCCACGTGGCAGTACCACACTCCCCTGCTGAGTCTGGCCTTTTAATAAAACTCAATATCCAGTAGAGCAGAACCTCACTGTCCACTGTTTTAGGAAAGGTGTCTTGCTAGTCATGCTTTATTCTTCCAAATGGAATTTCACATCAGCCTGTCAGGGCCTGGGATAACCTGACTGGAATTGTCCCTGTGATGGCATTGAATTTATAGCTCCATTTTGTGAAACAAACACCTCTATCCTATTTCATGTTTACTACATTGTGAGGATGCTCCAGGGTTTGTGCGAAGAAACTCTTAAACTCTGCAATAGTAGCCCCAAGTTGTTTACATTGTATGCCCCACCAGAAAAAAAGAAACTGAGGCCATAATCAAATGAATACACTGGAAAGAAACATTCAATAAAGGTTTAATAATTTTATTATATTTAACAGTTTATTATGATGATGTTTAATATGATACTCATTGAGATAAAATTAAAGGGCTGGTGAGATAGCTCAGTGGACTAAGCACCTACTTAGGCAAGTTCAAGGACCAGAGTTCAATCCCTGGCACCACATACCACACCAGCCCCACCCTCTGGACATGCTCAGCCAGCCACTGAGACCAGGCGTGGTGGCGCACGCCTGTAATCCCAGTGCTGGGAGGCTGGAAACAGGAAGATCACTACAAGTCCAAGCTGTGTAGTGAAACCCTGTACAAAATACATTAAAAAATAAATAAAAATAAAAAATATAAGAGAATTAAAGTGTTTATCAGTAACATTTTAACTCAGTATAATTCAATTATTTTCTTTTCTTTTGCAGTATTGTATATGGAACCAATGAATTACATCCACAGCCTTTTCCCTTTTGTATTTTAAGAGGAATCTTGCTAAGCCTTCGGGGCAGAACTTGAAGTTGTTCTGCCTCAGCCTCCCTAAGTGCTAGAGTTACAGGTGTATAATTGAAAAATATTGGCTTACACCTGGTGATACAGCAATGTGCAGGTGTGTTCTTTCAATATTTGCTTTTGCATTTCTCTGACAGCTGCACAAGGCTCACAAAAAATAAATGCCCCAAGGAGGTTACAGAACGCGCTTCTCTAAATTGCGACACTTGTTTTTCATTTCTCCCACTGCCAACTATGCAAACTCTCTCACTGATACTTGGTGACTAAATCACCATGTTCCCTGATGTTCTTCCAGACTAAGCAGAGAGTGCTCTGTCTGTCTACATCCAATAAGGTGCTTCAGTGCAAAACTAATGAAAATCTTCATTTGGAAGCTTTTAAAACAGCTCAACAGCTGCGCTCCTAAGTTTATGGTCCCTCTTTTTTTTTTTTTCTGTGATAGAAACACATAACATAAAATTAACTGGCTTAGCCATTTTAAAGGGTGCAGCTCAGTAGTGGTACGCACTTCATACTGTGAGACAGAGCTCCAGACTATTTTGACAATCTGAAATTCCATACTCAAATGCGAGTCTCCCTCTCTCTACTCCCTCCAGCCCCTGGTAACGAGCACCCTCCTTTCTTTTTCTGAGAATGTGGCTACTACTCGATCCCACCTATGAGTGGAATACCACAGTATGTGTCCTTCCCTAACCAGCTTATCTCCCATGGCATATGGCCCTTAACGTTTGTCCATGTGGTTGCACATGACATAATTCCTCTACCTTCTAGACTGTGCTTTGATACACAAAAGTTTTAAGATT